GAGAAAATGGCTACTTGTGCCCATTTTGGACATTGTCATTTAGGGGTGTACTCACTTAGTGGTCTCTGTAATGTACACAAATGTGTTAAACTGCGCCTGCTATCTAGAGCTAAAATAACTGACCAATAGAATGTTTCCCTGTGTTGTGCATGCCCTGCCCATCCATGGTATCTCAGTTCCTTTTTGCCGCCACTGCAGTCAGACTTTCTTGTGATGCCTAGAGCTGTTTTCAGTTCTTTCAAGTTCTCTGGTTTTGATCTTGGCCTGTTTTCTTGACTACGTTTTTTCTGATCTCTGGAATATTTTGACTTGGACTGACCTGATTTATGATTCTTGCATTTTGGATTGGCTACCATTGTTGTGTCTGGTGTTTGACCTTTGGACTGGGTACCATTTGCCATTTGGATTATGGACTTTGTCTTGATACTTTGGTATTTTGTCTTCTCGGCTTCTCTTCTCGTCTTTTGATCCTGGACTGCAATCTTTAATGTTCACCATGATTCCTTTCCTCTTTTTCTTTCCCCCCCTCCTTTCCCTGCTCCAGTAGCAGCCTACCTGCATCTGCACAATATCATGGTCTTTCCTTATATAGACGACTGGTTGATCGTCGCTGGCTCTTACGCTAAGGCATAAGAGGATACAAGTTTTGCTCTACAAACTGGCAGATCTAGGCCTCCAGGTCAACTTTGCGAAGTCCCATCTTCAACCATCTCAGACCATGGACTACATTGATGTGGTTTTGGACTCCAACAGAGCCAGAGTTTTCCTTCCTTCTGAAAGGATTTACAGATTGAATCGGGCTATTCATCCATTCCGCCCATACACCAGGGTTTCTGCTCATCACATGCAGAATCTTTTAGGCCTTATGGCTTCCACCACATCTGCTCTTCCTCACGCTTGGTTGAAGATGCACTCTCTGCAGACGTGGTACCTGTTGCAGTTCAATCCTCTATTGGACAACCCCGCCAAATGCCTCCATGTGACTCCAGAGTTAGCAAGTCAACTGATGTGGTGGACTTTCGTGCCACATCTTCTAATTGGCCAACCCTTCAAGCCCCTTCAGCTGACAGTCCAGATCACGACGGATGCCAGCCCGATGGGTTAGGGCGTGCATTGTGGTATTCACAAGATCCACGTCCTGTGGTCCAACTCAGAGAAGCTGCTATACATCAGTCTAAGATGTTTGCAGTCATCAAGTCTCTTTGCGCTTTCTGTCTTCTAGTGGTCGGTCGTGGAGTGCAGATGGCTATGGACAACATGACCACTTTGTATTACATAAACAAGCAGGGAGGCACTCACTCTTTGTCCCTTCTGTACTTAGCGATCCACCTGTGGGAGTGGTGCTACGATCACCACATATTTCCGATCGCCATCCATATATCGACAGAGGACAATGATGTGGCCGATCACCTGAGCTGCCTGACCACTCAAACTCACAAGTGGGTTCTTGACGACTCTGTGTTTGCCCTCATCTGCAACAGGTGGGGCACACCGGCCATCAACATTTTTGCTACTCAGATCAACGCAAAGTGCAAAAAGTTTTGTTCTCGAGCAGGGAGAGGCATGGGTTCTTTGGGGGATGCCTTCATGGTGGCTTGGGATGCTGTCCTTCTCTTTTTCCTCCCATCCTGCTCATTCGACGATTGTCAGGATCTGCCAGTTGCAAGCCGATGCTATCCTGGTAGCTCCATGGTGGGCTCAGCAACCATGGTTTATCACCCTCAAGACCATCACATCCAATTTCCTGAGACTGCCTCTCCAACTGTTCCTCCTAACTCAGGACGGTGTTCCCCCTTCACACCTGAGACTTCTGACACTAATGAGTTTCGTGACACCAGGGAAGGAAAATGGCTACTTGGGCCCAATTTGGACATTGTCACTTAGAGGTGTACTCACTTTTGTTGCCAGCAGTTTAGACATTAATGGCTATGTGTTGCATTATTTTGAGGGGACAGCACATTTACACTGTTATACAAGCTGTATACTCATTGCTTTACATTGTAGCCAAGTGTCATTTCTTCAGTGTTGTCACATGAAAAGATACACTAAAATATTTATGAAATGTGAGGGGGTGTACAGTACTCATTTCTGTGATATACTGTAAATATAGCTGTTGTGAGGTCATATAGTATGATTCAGCCTAAGCATTGTCCTTCAGTAAAAATGTAGGATATGATTATCAACACATAAAATTCCTTTGCAGGATTATTGTAAGATACTATAGTGTTGAGAAAATAAACTTGTTATAGTTGTAATTCTGTGGCAGAATTGGATTATGAAAACTTTAGCAGATCTAGAAAACTGCAACCACACTGCTGACTGGAGATGCTTATTGACAGTATGTGACTCCTCCCATTAAAACAACTTCAATTATTTTTGAGCTGTTTCTCTTTTTCAAAGACTGGTCCTGGGCTTTAAGGCCTTGTTTGGAAAGAAGATTTAAAAAAATCCCATGCTAGCCTTTGCAATTCTCTTTGAAGCCTTTTCTCCTTATCCCATCAACATGTGAGTGCTGAGATGCAAGAGGGCACCTTCTCTGTGGTCATACATATTCTTTGGAACTGTCTGCCAAAGGAGGTCTCTTTTCCTCCTCCTCTTATGGTGTTCCACTGCATTTCTTTTCTAACACAGTTTTGCCCAGCCAGGTTGTTGATCTGAATCAGTCTGATAAAATAGTGTTTTATCCAATGTCTTTTTTTATGATTTTCTTCTGTATTTTTAAAGTATTTTAATACTATGTATTCTCGAAGGCTTTTTAATGCTGTTTTAAACCACTAGGAATCAGCATTTTTTAATGGAAAGGTGAGCTAAAATATTATTAATAAATATTTGTGACTGGATCTTAGAAGTGATAAATCAAATAAAGAGCAGTCCTTTCTAAATGTTTCAGGGAAGCCTGTGGGTATCCAAGAACTTTGGTGAGAAATGGAAAGAAATATACAAAGATGTTTGCCTGGCCAAATGGTAAGCATCTGGAAAACAACCAAGCTTGAGATGTTCGTGATTGCATTAGACAAAAACAGAGGTGGTTGTCCTTGAGATAATGTTTTGAAGTTTTTTTTCTCTCTCTCCCAACAAGTCACTTGAAAGATTTGCTAATGGTCACGTTTGCCATGTATGCTTTTCCAATAGAGTCACTGTAACTCATTCCAAGTATGAATAGCTTTTTTGCTATTTTAACATTTGGTAAACGTAGGAAGAGGTCCACTTAAATGTCCAACTTTGCAACTATATGCTAAACTTTTCTATTCTGGATTATTTCACTTTGAGAATTCCAAAGTTATTTAAGTAGATGTGACAACTTGGCAGCAGAGACCTTTTTTGCTACATAGAATGTCTCAGGTTTAATCCCTGGCATCTCAGAAATTTTGGAGAGTAATGTGTATGATGGGGAATCTGCTGTACAAAACAGATTTAAACATAATTTCATTAATGGTATGTCACTGACTGAGCTAGAGCCATGGGCCTAGAAGGAAACCACATATAGGGACCTGGAATTAAGAACCTGTTGTTCTAACAATAGTTTATCTTACCAAAGTGATAACATGCTCAGATACAGAGTTTGTGCCACTGAGCCCATAGTGTCTTCTCACTTTTTGAAGTGAAAGTATTTTCCATTTCTCCCTGCCAAATTCAACATAATGGAGCTAAACTATGAAGACCTTTTGGTTTGCTCAGGTCTTAATAACCTCTTTGTCATGCAAAGGAGTTTTAATCATCTGGGCAACATCTGGCCTGAATCATTTTACTCTTCTAGATGGAGGCAGGGGTTGTGGTCACCAATATATGAAGGCATCTGTGTGTGGTCCTGTTAGTATTTGTATCTTTTGGGGAATTATGGTTGTTCTGAGTTAGCAGAGTATGAAGTAGAAAAAACAGCTACTCAGAAACATGGAGAAATCAGCTCAGTCTCACTGTCCCCTCCCACTTTGGGTTCATTTCCACACAGACTAGAATTTTGCATGTTAAAATCACTCTAGAAATCAAAAAAGGTATCTTTACTTACAGTTATCATTTCTAGTTCCAGTCAGAAGCATAAAAACAAAAAGAGAGTGTCCAGCACATGGAGAGACCTTGTTTCTTGTTGCTTGTTCAGAGGTCAGAGAAAGAAGGCTGTCAATGAAATTGACAATCGTAATACGCAAACAGAAAGGGTGGGGGCTTGCCTCAAATGCCAGAGGTGGGGAAAGAACTTTTCTAATCAGGTTAGTGGCAAAGAACAATAACATTAGGCTGCAAAGCCCTCTCCTGGTGATACCTAGTGTTAGTGCATTGCTATTTCCTCAACAGTATCTTGTTGCATCTCTGCCAATCTTCTGCATAATAGACCTTCTGAGGCACCAGAAGATTTCTTTATTCTTTGTCAGGAATCAAAAGAATGTAAGTTCTTCAGAATTCTGGCTGGTCCAAAATGTTTAGTTAGCACAATCAAGATTAGAAAGTACTTTTGCATACAATTTTGGGAACTGCTGCCTTATAGAGTAGACAACACTGTATGAGGTGTTCTAACTTATATATACGGTAACTCCTTATAATATATAGCTATCATGTTAACAGTGAACATTAGTCTTGCTCAGAAATCTCCTACAATCTAATGTGTCTTTTGTTACGTCATCTTTTCTTTAACTTGGAGAGACCAGCAAATCCTTAGTTGTCTCACGCCATACATTGCTTTAGGAAGGCAACAACACCTCTGTGAAGTATTCTTAGTCATCCAGGTGAGGTTATCTGGAAGTTGAGTCACGGCAACTGGACTTCTTTTGAAAGAAGTCCAGTTGCCGTGACTCAACTTCCAGATAACAACTCTTGTGAATTCTTCGTCAATTCTTCTTGTAAGTACTTGTTAGGCCTCTTGTTTAATTCTCTGATGTGAAAGAAAAGAAGTAGTACAACTATTTATGTTTGTGCAAAGCAAAATAATATAAAGTAAGCATCTAATACTTTTCTTCTTCTACATTCTCTGCATGCCAGAGGATGCTGGCATTGAAAGATGTGTGTCAGATCTGGCATACTGAGGGATCAACCTCCCCAGGTTATTTATGGATCAGAGAACTAAGAAGAGGGGAAGAAATCTTTTTTCTTGTCATGGATGGGAAAGAGCAATATTTCTGCCTGTAGTAACTTAGGGAATTGACTTGAAGACTCCTGCAGAGAAATATGTGTTTTGCTGTTCAAGATTCAGCAGGCTGTAAATCTTTGTGGCTTTGTATGTAGTGGGTAGAGCATCTAGGTTTTCAAGAATAGTTCCACCACACACAACATTTGCAAGTTGAATTTGGGGTTTGTATATTTTTAAAAACTTTTGTTTTCATAACTTTGAATATTTATTTGTATAGGTATCTGTCCTGACACACAAGGATTGTGTACCAGAAGTTTGGAACAATTTCTTGTGTTCCTCCCTTGCAATAAACAAGAGTCTTGTGCTACATGCTAGAAGTTTTGCTCATTATCATTTTCTCTAGATAGTTGCTGTGTACAGATTTTTCTTAACTCATTTCTAAGTAAGGTTCTTACTTCTAGTGACAACAAGATCTATTGTAGGCTTTATAACAATTCTGTCTGTACAAAGTAAATTTTAATGCATTTGCCTATAGACTGATGCAAAACATTGAATTGTTAATTGGTCAGCTTTTTTGACACCACACTAAGTGTTCTCTTCTATTGACTTGTCTAGGGGCCCTGGCATAACCATCTTTTTCACCACCTACCAGAATGGTTCTTGTAGTAAGTATTTGCAGTTTTAGTAAATAATTGGTTAATTAGACAACTTGACATCCCTCTTCCTTAGTTCAAAACCACTTATGAGAGATTATGAGAGTTGTAGTCCAACAACATCAGGAGTGCCACAAAGTGCTCACCACTGGTAGAGTGCCTCCCTGAAAGGAATTTTATTTTCCATTGTAATCTGTATCTGAAGTTTTTTTTTATGAGCACCCTGCAGGTTATGATAAATTGAAGGACAACATACAAATGTGTAAGTAAGGTCATTAGCCATGCAGGATAGTCAGGCCCACAAGTCTATCATAACCTTACATAAGAGATTCAGTTCTTCCCAGTTTTTCTTTTCAGTTTATAATAGGTGCATCATATACTTATGTGATGGTTATTTCCTGCATTGAAACACTATGGGGCTCATACCATAGATCACATGGCTCCACACCTCTACCCTGACATTCATTGACTGTGGGTGTCTGCAAAAGAGAAGGTTATGTGCATGGACTTGTCTTTTAGAGATACTGATGTCTAACATATTTGTTTATTTATTTATTTTATACATCACCCATCTATTGGCAAGCCACTACTCTCAGCAGCTACAAAACAGATAAAGATACACAATAAACAAAATTAAAATATTGAATGAAACCCTTACCTCCCCCCCCAAGAAACCAATTATCTATAAAAACGTGGGAACAGGTACTGTAACTTCACAGTCTTGTCGAAATAGGGAACCCCCATTGTGGGAGTATTGCATGGTGCAGGGCTTGCCTGTGTCTCTAAATTGGAGCAATGGTGACATGTGTTTCTTCTGCTCAAGAAGCTGATCTTGGGTTGCTGGAGCTGAAAAGGACCAAAGACTTTGGGAAGTCTTTCAAGAATATAGGAAGCAAAATCTATTCCTTTGGCCTGGGTGGGCGCTTCCTCTTTGCATCTGTGATGACAGAAAAGGTATGCAAACATCTCTTCTCCTTCTTTATGCCTGTAGCTCCATGAGTTATGTTTACAGTAAAGCTTTTTTTAAAGGATGTAGCAAAGGAGACCCAGTATTTGGGTCATTCTGACCTGCATGGTGTTAATATTTAAGCTTCCATTTACCAATAGGTAGATCTTGGTGTTAGTTTGGTTTGTATTTGTTATACTTTTAACAATTATGTGGAAACGTGATTAATAAATTCTCAAAGATGTTTTGGAAAGGTAATCATCATAATGTTTTATTTCTTTGATTCGTATGTTTTAAATTACATTTTTAATGTTTCATGTACTGTATGAAATATTAAAATATGTATTATCTGATATCCTGTTGAAGCTGTAACCTTTAGTGTTACAATATCTCACAGGCATTATTTGTTGCATGCTGAGTGACCTGTGCAGATGGCTGAATTTACGGCAATTTGGCAGTAACAGTTATGATTCTTGCATAACCATGCAGCAGGATTTTGGCCATATATATTATTGGAGTATACATAAAATGTGTAATTTAAAGCATACAAATCAAAGAAACAATGCCTACAGAGACTGGGACTATGAATAATGGTGTTATTGTGAGGAATTACGTATTTCATATAGTATCTTGAGTTTTTGGAAGAATTTCTTCATTTATTACAGACAGTTAATCACAGTATCATTAGTGTGAATAGTATGGAAAGTTATTGAAATTAACATTGCTGTCTCTAGGGTAATACAAGACGAATCCATGTGTCATTGGATCAAGGTGAAACTTGGAATATGGCCCAGCTACCTTCAGTGGGACAAGAACAGTTTTACTCTATCTTGGCAGCTAATGATGACATGGTGTTCATGCATGTAGATGAACCCGGAGGTGAGAGAGAGATAGCAGGGCAGATGGTGTAAACGTGTGTTGGATTGAGATTGTAAATCTGCAGTTTAGAGTAAATAAAGTAATGTGTCCCATACTTGATAAACTGACTCGCAGAAAAAAATGCAAATTGTTACCTTGGCAAGTCCCTCATAGTGCCATCCATGTACATACATTGGGCATCCTTGCAGCTTCCTCCTTCCACCAATCAAGCACACTACATGGTCCGGTTCATTGTCTTCATTCATACAGTTCATTCATTCATTTATGAATGAAAAAAGTCTCATCTGTTTTCAAGTTGCTCTGAAATGAACATAGTTCACTTGCAGGATGCCTATTAACTTCAGATTGTTTGGTGGATATTGGTAATGCTAAGATGGCAACCCTGTTCTATATGACGATGCCCCTCTGCACTCTGCAGTGTGCTGTTTTGTTTTTTGCAGATACTGGGCATGGAACAATCTACACCTCTGATGACCAAGGCATCATATATTCCAAGTCTCTAGAAAGACATCTCTACACCACTACTGGTGGGGAGACAGACTTCACAAATGTGACCTCCATGAGAGGAACGTACATCACTAGTGTGCTCTCAGAAGGTGAGTGTTCACTTTCAACATGGGATTGTAGACAGAAAATCAGGAACTCTTTTAAGAAAGCACATAATGCTTAACTGTCCATTAAGTAACATGGAACTGATTTTGTTAGGGCCAGCAGAATTAGTAAACAAAATTTCTATCATGCTTCTGCTTGATGGCTTAATCTCAAAATAGCTTATATTTTGAGATTAGATTGTCTTCTAAGAATTATGATTGAAAAAGTAATCTCACTTTTTTGGACACTGTGTCTAAAATGTGCCAGATTTTCTTGCAGTGGTTTCAGCTGTGCTATGTTGAAACTCAGAACAATAGCTACAAGATTTTTTTTCATGTGATTACAAATGTTCATGTCTCACTTTACAGAGATATTTTAAATCTCTTTAGAATGCTTGACTAAAATAAGAAAGCCAATCAGCTATATGCCGAGCTGTGATGGAACGCAGGCATAGCTCTTCTTTCTTTAGATGGGAATTACCATAATTTTATTCAAATAGAAAAATGACACATTGGCACAGAAATATCTCTTACTTCTGATGTGCTAAACCAGGATCAGGCTGTAAATGCTGGTTAATATTTTCCTGAAGAGAAGAGGTCATTACATACACAAGCTGGATTGGGCAAGGGTTGCCCAGTCTCTCTCTCTCCTTACCTAACATAAGCTGAACTAAACATATGTAAAATGATCTTTCCTAAAGTGATATGTCCAGAGTCTCTGGACTCAAGCATTTTTAAATACAATTGTATCTTCTCAGTAGAAGTATATGTGCTTCATATAACTTTGTTTTATTTTGCTATACCTGAAGTTTCTGTGAGTGTTCTGGATATATCCCTTCTTTTATCATATAAACTAGTGAAAGAAAACTACATTTGGTGCAAGAGAGTATGGGGGAAACCACACTGGTTTTTTTAGCATTCACAATGCCCTTTACATATAATCATGCAGAATGTTTTGTTTTACTTTTTGCATCTAGATAACCTTCCCATGGTCTTTACATTGAGCTGGTTCTGATCCTTCCTTGAGGATTGTGTCCAAAGAGTTCAGTTTGGGGATGAATTTTCAACCCCCTGGACCCTCAATTGTGGGGTGCCCCAAGGGTCCTCAGTTTCCCATTGCTGTTTAACATCTATGTAAAGCCATTGGTAGGAGTTATCAGGAGATTTGGAGTAAGGTGTCATCAGTATGCTGATGATGCACAAGTCTCTCTTTTACAACCTGTGCAGTGGATGCCATCCAGACACTTGAGTGATGCCTGGCTTCAGGCTTAGAGTGGACCAGGGCCAATAGGCTCAAACTGAACCCAGACAAGACAGAAATCTTGTTCCTGGGAGATCTCTTGGATTGTACGGGTGGGATTACCCCTAAATTGGATGACATTGTCCTCCTGTTTTAGGGATCAAGTGCATTACAGTGGTGCCCCGCATAGCGAGGCTAATCCGTTCCGGATTAACCTTTGCTATGGGGAAACATCGCTATACGGAATGGAAAAGCCCATTTAATGCGTTCCAAATGGGCACAAAACTCACCGTTCTGCAATGTTTCCCCCATACGGCCGCCATTTTTGCGCCCTCGGTAAGCGAGGACAGGGCGCGAAAACGCTGCGCGCGGCCATTTCGGGCGTCCGGCAGCCATTTTGGAACCGCCGAACAGCTGATTGAAAAAAATCGGCAAGTGAAAATCGGTAAGCGAAACGCTTACCGATCGTCGCTAAGCAATTTTCGCCCATTGGAACCGTCGGTATGCCTTTGCATTAGCTATCCAAAAAAACAGATCGCTATGCGAATTCGTCATTATATGGTGGGCTCATTAAGCGAGGCACCACTGTACGTGAATGTGCTTCTGGATCCAGCTCTATCTTGGGATTCCCAGATTGCAGCTATGTCTAGAACAGCTTTTAGCTGGCTGAGACTTGTAGCCCAACTCCATCCTTATCTAGACAAGGAAGCCCTTAGGACTCCGGTGCAGGCATTGGTCATCTTCTGGATTGACTACTGTGATGCTCCCTGTGTGGGGCTTCCCTTGAGGCTGATCCAGAGACATCAGCAGATCCGGAATGCAGTGGCCAGACTGGCTGGTGTGAGCAAATTTGACTATACAGTATCTCCCTCATTCTAGCTTGCCTGAACTGGTTACATGTTGTGTCTCCAGTCAGGGCCAAAGTTCTGATGTTCACATATAAAGCCCTTCACAGTTTGGGACAATGGTACTTGTCTGAGCGCATTTTCCCAAGGTCATCTAGCCAGTTCACCAGATCCTCCCAAGCTATGGTCCTCCAGGTGCCCACTTCAAAGGAGGCCAGGAAATCAACTGCGAGAAGCTGGGCCTTCTTTGCTGTGACACCAGCACCCTGGAATCAGCTCCCAGTGGAGCTGCACTTGACTTTCTCCCTAACATCCAGAAGGGTTCTGAAGATGCTGCTTGAGGCCTTCCAGTGCAACCCCACCTGATTTTTATGCCATGTGCGCTGCCATATGTTTGGAATCATGCCTCTTGTTGCATCTGATTGTAGCCATTGATTGGTGTTTTTCAAATTTTCATTGTTGTTGTGTTTAATTATTCTTTTCCTGTAAACCACCCAAATAAAGTGCTGATAGGGCGATATACAAACTTAATAAATAAATATTACTCCAAAAGTCATTGTTTTCCTGGATTCATATATTTGTCACAGAACTATTGTTTTTCCTTCCATGACCTACCAGTTTCTCCCATTACTCTGTACTGCATATGTTATAATTTAGCATCCTCTCATTTAATTTGTGTCCCCAATGCAGCATTGGGGCATAACAATGTAGCGCCACAGCCAAATCATACTCAGCAGGCAGGCCAACATATTTACTCACATCTGGAAGCCTAAAAACACCCACAAACAAATCCCAAAACATGAGCTGAGGCAATTCACAAATCTAAAGTACTCTTCCTTTTTGAAAGAGAGACCTTTAATGATTCCCAGAAGATGTGTTGTAAAGTAATCTTACTCCTACAAATGACATTTAACATTGTACTGCAGAGCCCTTCCTTTGTAAGGTGGTATCCATTAAAATAATATAATTTTACTATTAATATAAAATATACAATATTACCAATATTCTTGATATTCCTTATCCATAATGCAGAATCATTTGCTTAAAGGGAAGAGGATGGGAGCAGGATCTTAAATCTGCAATAGTTATCTCCTGGCAGTTGGAAGAGAGGTTAACCTGGATAGCTGCTGGAAAGTTAGCTATAAGGATTGGGAAAAGAAAAGATGCCAAAAAAGAGAGGAGAAGGGTATTGCCTGTCCTTTCAGTACAGCATGCTTCACCACATCTGCAACGGCACACCAATTCCTACAGCAAAACAAAACAGTTTATGCATATACATAGGGGAATGATTTGCTTTATTTTTTGCAGTATGAAAAACCTTAGAGAACTACAGAAAGAGAGAGAAGAAAGTATCCAAGACAAGCTGTGTGGTGTTTGGATTGCTAAAAATAATGAAACCTAACAAAATGACATTGTATAATATCCATCTAGTTTCTCCTTATGTTTGACTTCAGGAATGGTATTTCTTCTCACTTGACAAATTTCAGATGTGATTTTGTATTTTAATTTCAATGAAACATAGTTATCTTAAGATTGCCTTTTTAAAAGTATGTAACTAGTTGGGTTTTTCCCCCTGCATTAACCTGTGGTATGAGAACCAGAGTAGGATTTCTACTTTCAGTTTGGGTGAAAGAAACATGATGATTTGGTAGTGAAATTGTTTCCTTTCATAAGAGTTCTCAACAGTTGTTCAATATGTCAGGTCTTGTTGAATGTTGGGATGGGGCCTGCTGGGTATCTTGGAAACAAAAAAAAAGTTTACAGATTAATTGTAAAGAGTATGTTACATATTGCAAAAACAAGGATTTCGTTTTCTTTCCCTCAACCAGATAATTCCATTCAGTCGGTGATTACTTTTGATCAAGGAGGAGAATGGGTGCACTTGAGGAAACCCGAAAATGCTAAATGTGACTCAACAGCCAAAAATAAGGAGAAGGTTTGTCTTATGTATTGGCGGAAACTGCATGCAAGAAACAATGTTTTGCCTAAGCTATACTTCTAAATTGCTTATATAGCAAAGCAAAGCGTGCTGCTTATATACAGCCCCATAGCGCTTCAAACACTCTCTGGGTGGTTTACAAGTTAATTATGCAGGCTACACATTATATAGGAATGGCAAACCACTTTTGAGTATTCTCTATCTGGAAAACCCTACAAAGGGTTACTGTGACAGAACTGACTTGATAGCACATGATTTATTAAGCAAGTTTTTAAAGACTTTGTAGTGAATTGAGAGTTGAAATGCATAGCCATGATGTGATAACAGCAGAGGATCCTTGTAAATGGTTTTGGATAACAATATAAAATAAAAAATATTGACGTTGCAGTAAGCGTTGGAATTTCTGTTTTAAAAAGTGACTTCTGTAGTTTCACATCTTTCCCGACAGGGCATGGACTTTTAAAAAATGTTAAAGCATTTTAAAAGAGGGAAGAGAATGTTGAATATTCTTTTTATAGTGAGTTCAATCTAGACAAATGATATAGACAATTATTCATAGTTCAGCCTATGAATAGCTACGATGGGCTTATGTCTAGAAGAAAACCATTGTGGGTTGCACAGATACTCTGTTGGAGAACACTCTGTTGAACAGTGAGGTTTTGAGGTTTAGAGGTTCTTGGATTTGTATCTGTAGATTCTTCTTAGTGACAAATTTCTTGAGATTGTTCACTTTTAGATCTGTTACATTTCTGCATCAGCTTTCTAAGTATTTCAACTGTCTTATATTTACAGTGCAACCTTCACATTCATGCATCCTACAGCATCTCACAGAAGCTGAATGTACCAATGCCACCTCTGTCTGAGCCTAATGCAGTTGGAATTATCATTGCTCATGGTAATGAATTAATCTTACACACATATACAACAAAGTGAAATAATGGACAAGTGCAGAGGCTTTACTTGTGACCTTCTACTGAATTATGTATTCCACAGACCTAATTAGTTTTGGGGAGGATGGTGGTATCTTTCTTCCTTGGTAAGGGTGGTGAACTTTGGAAGGAATGCATGTGGTGGTATATTCACATCCGTGGTATTGGGTATTATATTGCAGGAAGTGTTGGTGATGCTATTTCAATAACAAACCCAGATGTTTACATTTCGGATGATGGCGGCTATACCTGGGCACGGATGCTCAAAGGACCCCATCATTATGCCATCTTGGATTCTGGAGGCATCATCGTGGCTGTTGAACAAACTCATCATCCTATCAATGTGATTAAGTATGCAGCAGGAACTCACTTTTGCTAATACTTATGTGCTGGGAGGATATAAGAGATTGATTGCCCACTTTCTGACAGCCCCATGACTAGATCCAGCTGTTTTTTGGCCAAAATTACTAAGGGTGCTTCTGGATCTTATTTTTAGTCTGTGATTGCCCTGCTTTAAACACTTTTTTTCAACAAGAGGGTTCAGATGTAATCACCTACCACTCATATTTCTCTTGTGCTTTCCTACTTCTTTTGTTTCTTCTCTTTCCAGGAAAATGTTGTAAGAATAGTTATATAAAGTCACTTGATCAGGAAAGCTAGGAGCCCTTCATCTGGAAGCAACTTAGGACAGGCTAGCATGTCCATCTTTACCATGAAGCAGTGATTTTGGTCAAGAAGCTTCAGAAGGGGTTGTTTCTATCCTCACATGCCATTTTAGTCCAGAAAAAAAGAGAAGGGCTTGATGTCTGATAGCAAATGAGAATTCAAGCTAGAAAGAAAGCAGTAGACAGAAGGGGGATTAAATAGTCTTTCCTCTTGAAATTACCCTCTCCTGGCTCTCTTTTGAAAATAAGTGTCCTGCGGGATTTCTGTTCACAAAGCTACCAACTACCATGTAGTTGGTTTTCCTTGACGTGTCTTGCACCCACAATCTCTAAGGGTAGTGGCAGATTTTTAAATGAGTCTTTCTTGTGACTTTTAAATGAGCTACAGTGATGACCTCAAATCTTATTACTAATCCATATCTCTTTTAGGTTCTCAACAGATGAAGGTCAATGTTGGCACAACTACATTTTCAGTAAGGAACCGATAACATTTACCGGCCTAGCATCTGAGCCAGGAGCAAAATCGATGAATGTTAGTATCTGGGGATTTAAAGAGAGCTTGCTGTCCCGCCAGTGGGTCTCGTATACCATTGACTTTAATGATCTCCTCAAAAGGGACTGTGAGTCATTTTTCTTTCTTATAATAAATAGGGTTGTTGGCACATAGCTCTCCTTCAAATTGATACTTGAAGGAGAGCAAATATTCAGACTGATACTTGCTTTGAAATAGTGGCTGAAATCCAGTAGTAGGTTTCATCTAGAGTAGGCCCATCAAATGAATAAGGATTTGATGAGTCAGCTGGTCTGTAAGTTCCATTGATTAAATGTGCCTGCTCCAGTTGCAGCTTACAACTGGATTTGAGCTAATATGACATAACTGGATTCTCTTATATAGGCTACTGTTGTGATATTGTGCCAGTGTAAGGCTACAGTTTTTAGATTGCCTTTTTGCCTGTGTAAGACTCTTCAGTTATTCTAGTTGCAGTCAAATGGACAATCACAAATATGTGGAGAGGAAAAAGTTCTTTGGGGGGGGGAACAGAAAAATGTGGGTGACTTTTTCAAGCCAATGTAAAAACTCATGAAATTTGTCCAAATAAATCAATGGTTGTCTCCCATCCCTCAAAACCATCTGCACTGCATAACATTCCACAAAATGTACTTCCTTTCCTCATCCTTTTCTTATCTTCAGTTAACAGCAAAGGGGCAAGGAGCTTTTGTTCCCTTTTCATGCTTTTACTTAGTGGGTTATAGTGTAGGGTGTATGAAACCATGATATGTTCATTTACAGTGGCTGGAGTTGAGGGAACATCCGAACAGTTGCCTTGGGTTCAACTGACATCTTATTCTCAATACATTGTGATTCTGTCACAGAATCTTTAGGAAAACACCAACAAAGATCACCTATTTCTCTATTTTAGTGGACATTGACTGCCTCACAAATCTGGCTGTTTTCCTTTTGTTAGGTCAGGAGAAGGACTATACGAAGTGGTTGGCTCACTCCAGTGACCCCAGTGACCCTACAGATGGCTGCATACTAGGCTACAAGGAGGAATACCTACGACTTCGCAAGTCATCTGTCTGTCAGAATGGCCGTGATTACAAAGTGACCAAACAACCATCTGTTTGTGTTTGCACATTAGATGATTTTCTTTGGTATGTTTGGAGAATTATTCCCATTTTCCTCTCTCTGTAGCTGTGTTTTTAGTGTCCTGTGGTGAGTAGGGTGGCAGCCATATACCTTTCCTTTCCAATATCCCTGAAATGTGAATGCTTTTGTAGGTGTAATTGCAATGTGTGGCTAAATACGTTTGGTAGAGACATGTGCACAGACCGAAGATACTCCCTATTGAGAGATGATTAAATGGTATCTTTTCTGTTGTTGTTCTGCTGACAGGCAGAGACCTCACATTTGAATTTAAGTCTCGTTGAAGAGGACTATTGATTCTTTTTTTATTTATGTGTTTTTACGTGGTTTAATGTTTTCATTGTATTTATTAAACAATTTAGTCACATTTTTGCCAAAAAGTGAGATATAAATTTAATGAATAAATGAATTAAACAAATACCCAATTTCTTTACCTCTGGAAGTACTGCTGAGATCTTCTATAGGAAAATGCCTGTCATCAGTGCTGTACATGTGATTTTTGTGTGTGTCTGTAGTTGTAGACTAGCAACTTGGTCTTGAAACAAAACTAAGGTTTTAGGGCTTTTCATAAAGCTGCTAGGTCTTGTAGTAGAAGATCATTTCTAGAGTTCATCCTCTCTTTGTAGCATTAAAGATTCCATTTAATCATCTCAAGGATAACTGGGAAATGTGTGTTCTCTAATAGCACATTCCAGCCCCCAAGAAAGGAAGGAGTGCAGTAACTGTACAGCCATTGTTTTAATTTCCCATGCAAGCAAAGTGATGTTCAAGGTGTTGCAACAAACATTTTTATCTTGTATGGAGTGAGAAATGCCTGATGTTCCAGCTAGATCCTGAAAAGGAAGAGGTACTCGAGAATAGATTGCAAATATTTGCTGACTACTTGAGCACACCAAAGAGTTTCAGAATTTGAGTCTATGCTTTATAGACTGCAGCAAAGCCTTTGATTGTGTGGGTCATGAGAAACTATGGGTTGTTCTGAAAGAAATGGGTAAGCCTCAACACTGTTATCTCCTTACCCATTGAGGCTGTATGCAGAAAATACCATACAGAATGCCAGACTAGAGTCAGATGAAGGAGGAGTGAAAATTAGCGGAAGAAACATCGATAAATTAAGATATGCAGATACCATCTTACTGGGAGAAAGCAGCAATGACTTGAAATGACTTTTAGTGAAAGAAGAAAGTGCCAAATTAGGACTGCATTTGAACATTAAGACAAAAACAAATCATGACTATAGAAAGAACTGCACAGCTTCCATGTTGACACACACACACACACACACACACACACACACAAATAAATGTGTGTGTGTGTGTGTATATATAGCATTGATTCATATATATATGAATCTATCTATATCTCTATCTATCTATATGAATCAGTGCTCATTCCCTGAGCACATTTAATAACAGCTGTCCTACGTATTGAATATTGTTCTGTAGTGATTTTGGCTACTACCGTCCAGAAAATAAATCAGAATGTGTGGAGCAGCCAGAATTGAAGGGTCATGACCTGGAGTTCTGTTTGTATGGGGAAAAAGAGCGGCTAATGACTAATGGGTAAGTAGGATTCTAGTCCATTAGCAATAGTGTGTAAACTGATAATTTTAGTTTACTACGCTATAATCTTGGTAATGTGGGTATATGTATAAAATAAATGCATGTAGGTTTTAAGAAAGATGTACCCCATTATACTTTATCATTTTCTTCTTTTTGAACTTACACATATTTGAATTGCCTTGAGCCCATGGGATGTTTTCTCTTGTGACCCTAGCACTGTATTCCACGAAATGCAGGGGGATCTGCAATTGTTTTAAGGCAATTGATTGATTACTACAAATGATATGAAGGTAGTATTCTGCTGGGTTGGAACCATGTGTTTTTGTTAATTCTGTGGACCAGAGAAATATTGTAGAGAATGAAGGCCATAACACACATTTTTTTTTAACATGTAGTTGAACACAAAAGGTACAGTTGGAAAAAAATTGTGCAGTTGAAATGGGCAGAAAAACTCTGAAACCTTGTTATCAGACTTCCTTCTTCAGATATTATTTCCGTCAGTTTCCACTCGTACATCTCGTGTCCAACTGGATGCTCAAAAAGATCCTACTGTAAAGCAAGCACATATTATTTAAGCATTCTTGACTTTAGTCCCACTTTTTTTTCTGGGAACTAATTTAATAGAATAAGCCTGGCAGACACCCACCTAATTGTGGCTTGTTGGAAATGTTTGAAACTCTTGAGCTGTTACAGGTTAGCTGACATGGCTGTGATGAAATCAACATCTCATCTTTTTATTGACCATGTGGTGGTTAGCTAATCTTTGCCAGTTTAAGAAACTGTTGCTTGTAAAGAAGCTTCTTAGTAGTCTATTGAACTTTTCCTGAATTCCAGGTATCGGAAGATTCCAGGAGACAGATGTGCTGGTGGGGCAGACCCTAAGCGTGAAGAGACTGATTTGAAAAAAAAATGTACTAGCAATTACTTGAACTCAAGCCAATTGGTAGGTACCAACAAAAACCCCACAATCAAAAACCCCCACTACTGCAAGAACTAAGGCGGGCAAGAAAACACAAAACTTCCTAGCCACTTTAAAAAGAATATTGGCAAGTATGCCCACAAAAGTAATAGGTGAGAAGCAATTCTTCTTAAAGTTCTCTGCTAGCATTAATCTTGGTTTTGTAAGATCAGTGAACTTTCCAGATTGCTTTTTGGAGCTGTGATTAGCATTCTGAGCTAGGGAGTCTGGTTTTAGATACCTTGAACAACGTACCAAATAAATAGTTTCATTCTGTCCTTCCAAGTTATTGTAGTGCTGCTATGTTTCCTGTAGGAACTTTATCATAGGCAAATATCTATTTTCTTTCTACAGTCTGCCTCCTCCAGTTCCACTCCAGTCATCCTGGCTGTAATAGGATTGATGCTCACCACTGCCATAGCAGGAGTATTTGTCATTAAGAAATATGTTTGTGGAGGAAGGTAAGGCTTGGAAGCAGGCAACGGAGAAGATAAGTTAAGCAAGACCATAGAACAATAAAATACTTCACTTCTAATATTACATAGATGCAGATGCTGTTCATTTTTACTGAAGTATGAGTCATAAGCACACTTCTCATCCTGGGAGCAAAATAATAATCCGAGCAGGAATTCTACTGCAACAGCTTTTTTGTCCTAGACAGATTTTACCCATCCGCTCTTGGCTTTATTGCTTTAACCACACACACAGTAACCATATACTAACATTATTGGGAATATTGAAGCTTGGCTTGTTGAGAAAAGATTCTAGTAGAGCTATGTCCTGTCATTCAGTCCATATTAAACCTAATCATTCATGGTACATTACTTGCCATGTATATTGATGATTATCCAGGAGTTATGAGCTGGCTACACTAACCTTTGTAGCATAGGGAAACAGGTTAGTTATGGGTGACTGGCATCACCAAGGAAAGGATCAGTAAATCATCTGTTTCAGTGCTGCTGAACATTGTTTGTGCAGCCTTTAACTGATGAGAAAAGAGAAAATAAAAAGAGGGATTTTTCTCTGGCTGCTGCTTCCTTTTTTTTAATGATTGATTGATTGATTGATTGATAATGTGAACTCTACCTGTACTTTGAGTATGTAGGAAATATGACATCTTTATCTCCACAATACTGTCATTCCCGAATGTGAAATCTGAGTCATCACAAAAATTGTCAGCATTTCTGATTTATATACATTGCACCAACCTAGGAGAGGCCCTGAAAAGCAAGAATAGAGAATATGTTGCCTTCCCTGGTCGAAACAGACAACTCACTCAAGGGCTCAAGAGCCCATCTGTCACTGACCTCTGCGCTGTTGTAAGTGATTGTTAAGTAATCACTAGGTCCAAAAAATATAAAGCTCATGCTTCAGCTAAAGTAAGACTCAGGGTAGCAGGGAGAAGTGGTAGAGGTTGAATGTGAGTTAGACAAGGAGAGTAATCTATATTTCTAGAAGGATTATAGGACTTGCATATAATGTGATGGTGTTATTATCAAATAGTTCAGTTTCTTCATGCTAAAATACCTCTTGCTGTGTTCAGTAACTGCTGTCTTGAATGATTCATGAATGTTAAGGTTAGCAAGTATTCTTCCCTCCTTGACCATTTCCAATGTTACACCTTCTAAAAAGATCACTTTCCATTACCTCAACCTTCTACAAGATCGTGTTGGCCCTAAGACAGCTGTGTTTCACTAAGACAAATTACTTATCACTGTCAACCTCCTCTGTCTGTAATCCTTCTAACAGATTGAACTTCACATTTACTTCTGTTCAAAGAATGCTATTATCCTTTGAGAATTGGTGCAGTAACTAGAGACTGAATTCTTTCATCTGTGTTGGTTATTCCCTAGGTTTCTGGTCCACCGATACTCTGTCCTGCAGCAGCATGCAGAAGCAAATGGCTTTGAAGGACTTGAGACACCAGAAACCAGTAAAATTGGTTATCATGATGATTCTGATGAGGCAAGTGATTGTGACCAATAAGTATGCCTGTGTGCTACATATCTGTTTAAATAGTATTGGCAGGTTAGACTGGCAAATGTGAATTCCCAATATGTGATTGTTTTGCTTGTGCTTGTTTGGAAATGCAGTAACTCAGTTTTGCTAATATAAGTGTTATCATGTAACTCATAACAGTGAAATACCACTAGTTAATCAAGCACTGTATTCTTTGTCAAGCATCACATCATGTAAGGTAGAATACAAGAGGAGATTTTTTAAACTACTGACAGTATACTACTGAGATTTACAACATTGCACTAAATGCCAGTGTATCTAACCATTAGGGTTCTCACCATTATGTTTCTGTTGGGCTTAAGAACACTTAAAAATGCTTTGGTTTACCTTGATCACAGCAACATTGGGAAGGCACTTTATCCTGAAGTGCTATAAAAATCTGTTTTTCTTTTCAGGACCTTTTGGAATAGTGATATGCACATGTTGCTGAAACTGGATGCATACAGGTTGGGATGCTGCTACATAAGGTTGTGAATTCTGATAGACCGTTTAACTCCCAATTTGGACGCCTCTCCTGTGTCCAAGAGACTCTGTGTTCTTGTTGCTTCCATCAAACTGTCATAAAACCAGCGTGGCTCCAAGAACTGCATTAGGGGTAGGGTTGGGGAGGAAGAGTGCAAGTCTGAGTAAAGAAGAAAGAAACATTTCTTTTAAAAATGTAACATTATTTTAATCCAATTTGTTTCCAGCTCTTAAAGAAGAAGTAAATAGAAAAGTGAAAGCAGCATTTCACTAAATATTAGCATTAATAGGCTCAACATATTGTGCTGCTGCAAAGAGGGCCCAGATTCCCAGATAGGGGACATGTCCACTCCAATAATGTGATGCTGCTTTGAAGCTTCTGCATTGTGCCCAGCACTTCTAACACAGAGAACAAAGAGATCCTGGGACAAGGACTGAGGGAACTAACCTACATCCCCAAAGGGCTGTGTGCCAAAATGGAATTACTTTCTGTTTTAACTAAAATTTGGGTTGACCTCTATACAAAGCAGAGATTATCCCAAGGTTTGAATGAACTCTGCAGCTGGGCTTTACAATTCCAAGGAACTAAACTGTGAAATAAGTGTGTATGCTGCCATAAATCTTTAAGAAGGAAATAATAATAATAAAAAAAGTGAGAAAGAGGTTAATATTATACATTGTAGAACTAAGCAGTGCAGATCTCTTAGAAATAAAACTTGTTTAGAATACTATAGTCTTTTAAAATAACAGAAGTAATGTTCTTTGGCTTTGGTTCTCGAAGGAAAACGTGATTACAAACAACGCCCTGATGTTGTTCAGTTTTCTCTTTTTCACTATGCACTTCTTTTTGTGAAAGCAATATGTCTGTGGTTGCAGTTCTGCTCCACTTTGGTACTGTGCATTTACCTGCTAAATATCCATACAGAATACTACATTACCCTTACTCACTTCTCCAGTAATATTCATGGAATTCTAGAGAGGGAAATTATCTTGAAAAATTAGTCAGTTCTGATATTGGTCATCACTGGAAACATCCCATTCTAATGACAATTGGAATTGTAGAGAGCTTCTTACTGAACAGAAGCCATGGAAGCACAAAGTTTTAAACCAGCTTGTGACATAGCTGGTGTTTGCTTTTCATTACTGTTAAGTAATGTTTGAGGATTTATCATTCAATTGCTAGAACTTTGCAATTGTCTGAAGTGGTGATAATTGTTTTAACAGCTGATCAGCCCCAGATGATGATTTTTGCCCTCATTTTTGGATTTGATTCTTATCTATATTGGGGATACCAGCCACATATGGTCTTACCTTAACACACACAAAATGTATTTTCATGAAGATAACTGTCTTATGAGATTAGTTGAAGTTTTGCTGTCTTCTGTTGAGGAATGCATCAAATAGAATGTACTTTTGAGTAAGTCTTGTTACTATAAGTAGTGATTAATGGACTCTGCTTGTTTTTAAACTAGGCTTCAAAAACAGACATAGTTAAACAGAAAATAGTGAAGGTTCTTTTCCCTAAAGACAAATTCTAAATTTAGATCTCATAGTGCTCCCAGTGATGACAAATTAAGAGCATGAAGATCCAAGATCCCGTATCACTGCAAATCCTCCATCCTGCCCCTATTATTTTCTTTTCTCCAGGCTTACTAGGCCATTGGGTGACACCTGCAGGAATTCTTCCCTTCCTCCTTTCCTCACACCTAGTTGTTGCAATAGCATATGTCCCAGGCATTTTCCTCCTGATGGGAGGAAAAATTGAATTTGATTACAATCTGAATAGAGTGAATTTCATGGCATGTTGGGAGAGGGATTAAACTTGCTTTGTAATGGAAATAAGAATTGTAAGGTGGAGACATTTTATATTCTGCCAAACCAGCTCATAACAAATTTCAGCTAGTGAAACATCACTGAGTGCAAGACCTGTTCTGACTTAGCAGTCATGTTCCTTTTGGCAGAAGACCAGATGAGGTGTCCTGTTGTGGTGAATTGTTACCATTTATCTTCTTATCATTCAGCATGCATTTCCTATAGCTAGTATATTTTAAAATAATGAATTTAGTATGTTTGAAACAAAGGATCTTCCTGTCACTGGTGACTTGCATCAAGTGAAGTAAAATTTTATTAGGTACTCAAAGCTTATCAGATATTCCAAGTAATTAGGGTGTGCTGCTGAAGTCAAAGGACTTTCCATTTCTCACTTTGGCATTAAAATGAGAGTGAGAAATTTGGAAGCAAGTGCCTCCTGATAATTTGTGGTGTGTTTTTTTTTTTTGTTTGTTACTTTGGCTTTATTTTGTGTCCTGAGAAGACATTAGTTTCTTCTGAATGAGTGAGTGATTTGATTATATCCCAATTTTACCAATTATTTGTTACCATTTATTTTTGTCCCTTGTGAAAGGTAGGTGCACCAAGAGGAAACGTTTCAAAGCAAAAGCAAATGGTGGAAGGAAATGATTATCTCTGGAAAACTCTAGGCTTGTATAGGTAGATGCCTGGAGCAAGCATAGAACTAAAATGGGCCTAGGAAATGCTTGAGAATACCTGGTCTATCCTGAAATGTCGAGCTTTCTAGTAGAGCTTTGCATGCTGTTCATGAAGGTCTTTATAGAGACTTGTATCTGTATTGGTTGAACATCATCCAATAATTGGGAACATCACTATACAGATCTTGGTGCTGAGTATGCAAAGATATACATATGTCATAACCAAGACACTTGGGGGCAGCACACATCATTGCTGTCCTATACCCACTGTAGCTTTGTGCATACTTCAAGCAAAAGCACACCCTTCTAAAGGCCTTCCAAACACATCCTTCTAAGGCCTTCTAAAATTAGTCCATCAGTAATTTATTATGGTGTACATGCCAGCACAGAAACACATATAACATGCTCACAATTATTTACAGAAAATTAGTATCTGCTAAACTCATGATAACAAAACCTTGAACTGAAGGGGGACTTAATAAGTCTTTTTAACCTAATTACACAGCCGCTGTTCTTTATTTGAAGCTTTTTTTGTACTTTTACCCAATATAAAATGAAGTACAAATTGCAGTCCTATGCCATTGATTAGTGAAATGTCCCAGGGCAAGGATGTAAGAAAACTCTTAATGGAGTGGTGAAGACATTATCCAATGTAATGTGAATGTAACTCTCATTACTTACTCTTCTAGTTCTGTGTCCAGCTTCCCATGTGTAATAAAGCATCTCTGGAAGGCAGGTAGGGGAAGGAAGTCCATCACTCGGTACTTTTCACCGAAGCCTCTGACCTGTTCCTTCCTCCATTTCTGGCAGCATCTCCTTTCATGACAGATTACACTGCAGTATATTGGCTGATGAAGTGAGATAATATTTTAAATAACTTGAAACTTCCACGGTGAGCTAACCAGGGCCTAGTGGCATGCATACTTACCGCCCTAAGCCACAGTAGCCTTTGTCTCCCTAGTGTTGAATATGTAAATAACAGTGCATTTTTCTCATTGCTGTAAGGGTGCTGCCTAAGCAACAAAGCAGCTGTAGGGATGTTTCCAGTGCATGCGCTTTGAAACATTACTGCCTCCCTGTTGGGTTTGTATGGCAGACCAGTTTTTAAAAAGATTTCATACCATGTCCATAATGGCTGTATAATACTACATTACAAAAAAGCCATAGTTAATACACTCCTCTATACAAAATTTCTTAAAATGTGTACTGTCTAAAATGAGGTGAAGGAAAAAAAAGGAAGCCATGTATAGAATTGTAAATAAACCTGGCTATATTATAAATTTGTACTGGTATTTTCTGTATATTTGCAATATTTGGGTTAGAAATAAAAACAAAAATGAACTTTTCTTTGACTTGTGTATCGTATCTGACTTTAGTCTTGTGAATTTGAAACCTCATATAGGGCAAAGATCTTCAGTTTATGGCCTGCAGACCTAAAATAGGATGATGAGAAGCAACAAGGCTATTTGACCACTTAATTCAGATGTTCTGTTCAGTTTATTAATCAACATAAGATGTACAACTTGAACTGTATATTTTTGACAGTCTTTCCTCCTTTCAAATTGTAGAGAAAATCGAGGATGTGAGATAGATGGATACACCGTTTCACCCTCAACCGTTTCCCACTGTCAGCTTCCTTATAACATGTGCTACAGTTGTTTACCCCTTTCCAAAAAGTGTAAACAATATCACTGTCTCAGCATTACAGTTGCTGAGTCCCTTGTCTTAATTTCTTAAAAGGAGCCTAAAGGCCTTCTTTTTAATCACAGGGTACCCAGTGTGACATAGTGAACAGAGCAACAGACTAAGATTTAGGAAACCTGGCTTCAGATTAGCATGGTTTTTGTGCGTTTTCCAGGCTGTTTGGCCATGCTCTTAAGGTTTTTTCTTCCTAATGTTTGGCCAGTCTCTGCCCGCCACAGAGACTGGCAAAACGTTAGGAAGAAAACCCTTAAGAATACAGCTAAACAGCTCAGAAAACCCACAACAACCATTGGATCCTGGCCATGAAAGCCTTCGAGAATACATTCAGATTAGCGCTTAATCATGGAAACTCATAATGGGGCAGCACTGATAAACCCATGCCCTAAATATCTCACCTTGAAGGCCCCATTAGGTTCGCTGAAAGTCTATTCCAACATTATGATACATGACACATGCAACAAAGGTATCATGACTAGCAAATGAAATAAGCTCTCTAATTCCAGATATCAGTTTTCTTCCAGACTTGGTTATTCAGAAGTACAGCATAATATGATTCAGAGGATGATTACAGTTATTGCTTGCTAAAACCAACAATGTGGAATGGATAGTGCACATCACCATGCAGGTTCCACTAAGTTTTTATTAAACTAGCCTCCAGAATTAGTTTTTGTTTTCAGAGCTTTCCTTGACTAGTCCTCCTTTACCCCTATCATCTTATTAGTGTACTGGGATGAGTTGCTTCTTTTTGTTCTAATGAGTTTAATAATTAATCTAGATATTATCTTTTTTTCACTTTCAATTTAAACCTGCTCCAAAATGCCAAGAGTTCCTTAATGAAGGAGCTATGGTGACAGAGACAATGGCTGAGATCCTGTTGATGCAGATAGGCCAGACAGTGGTCTGGTGGCAGCAGTTTTCAGATATACTCCCTCTCCAATTTTGAGCCCCCAAAAGCTTTCTCCAGAACAGAAAGGATTCCTAGAGAGCCAAGGACCATTTGGGGTGGCGGTGGGGAGGATAAAATTTGAAACATTAAATTAACAAAGGTGGTTCGTTGTATCATTAGCTTTGCACATCTGCCGATGCACTATCAGGATTTCAGCCTATAGTTAAATACCTAGGTTTTGTGTATATATGTCTGGGTTAAATGTCCTTCTAATCTTGTATTACCAGAAAGCACATTTGCTTGATGTAAAATCTATGCATTTAAGCAAACTGGATTTGTTTGAGTGTATTGAACCACAGAACAGTTTTCTGATATTGTCTTGACAAATGTAAGAGGGAATGCAATCATATCTGTTTGTTGATCCAACATCCACCCAACTGGCTAAACAGAATATGCATTTTCAGATGCAGTTTCAAAACACTCAGGAGTTTTGAAACTGCATCTGCAACAGTTGGTATTTTATCTGCTCTTTATAGTGATTATCCGTGTAGCTGCTTTTTCTTCTTTGTGGCCTCTGTGAATGCACACAATTGGCTTGTTCTGCGCCTGCGCAGGACATCTTTGAAGTTTCTAGAGCTTTCAGACATGTTAGTAGGACAGTCCCCTGTGGCGCACATGCTCCGCCCTCTAAAGGTCCCCTCAGTTCCTTTTTGCCACCACTTCGGTTGGACCTTTTCGGAACGCTAGAGCGATTGTTGAGATCATTCACTGACTATTTACTGATTATTTCCAATCATTTCTTTTATTTTCTATTTCCATCATATCATTGTTGGACATTCCCCTGTAAGTCATACGTTTTTCCTTTTCAATTTACCTCAGTTGTTTTTCTCTTCTACCTGTGTTTTTCTCCCCCCATTGCCAACTCACAGCCCTCAGATCGGATCCACCTTTCCTTCAGTTCCACCCGGATAAGGTTACCCTTAACTTTGATGTATCATTTTTACCCAAAATTGTCTCTCAGTTTCACCTCAATCAACTGTTGATTCTACCAACTTTATTTCCGTCTCCTTCTACACCTCTCAAGCACATGCTCCACATGCTTGACGTAAGACGCTCCTTGGCCTTCTACATCGATAGAACTAAATCATTTAGAAAGTCTCCAAGGCTCTTCTTATGCTTTCATGGCCCTCATAAGGGTGCCCCAGCTTCACCTCAAACTATCTCTTGCTGGATTGTTCAAACTATCTCACTGGCCTATCAGCTCATGGGCAAAACACCTCCTGAACATTTAAAAGCTCATTCTACCAGAGCGCTGTCAACCTCTACTGCCTTCCAACGTGGAATAGAACTTCCTCACATCTGCTGTGCAACTACATGGGCTAATCCATCGACCTTTGTGAGGCACTACCATCTGGATGAAGAATTATGCTGCTTTTGGCAGAGCAATCTTGACACCCTTTCTACCGTGACGTCCCACCATCCGGTAAGTGCGCTTGTCAGTCACCCAATTGTGTGCATTCACAGGAGGACCACTAGAGGAACCATGGTTACAGGTAGGTATCCTCTCTGTTCTGGGTCTGACTAGGAAATAGAAACAGAATAAGCATTCCGGCAGCAAAATCATATCAAAACAGAAATAGGAAAAGATATTTTTAGACTGTAGCTGTAGTTGACAGTCAGCCAGTAGTTAGGAATGATGAGTCTTGCATTTCCAGCATCTGAAGAGTCCCATGTTTCCTATCCCTAAATTAGGATCTTGTGGTTGTCAGTGTCTAAACAAGCCAAGGCAATTCTAGCATATAAAGGTCAGCTATCCTTTATCATCATCACAGTGCTGGGGCAACTTTGGTCTGTTTTCAGATAGAGGTTATAGTACCGAACAAGTATTATTTTGGGCTCTTTGTACTTAATAGCAATGTTTCAAGAGTATATTTTCATGACAAGTCTTTAGTGCTTTTTTTCCCTTCATGTGGTAGGTTTTGGTTTTTTGCACTTAACCTTTTTTATCTCTTTTACACAAATGTTTGTGCTCTGTCATTTTCTCTGTTGTATAGCGAGTATAAAACAGACTTGCAGATTTCACTAGAAGTGAGCAAAACAAGTTTGGTTTTGCCCAGAACATGCACCCTTGGTAATGGATATCAACCTCAGAGACAAATGTGCTTTCTGGTCTCCAATTAACAATGAAAGGTTTGCTAGTATTTCTTTAGAGGTTGGAACATGTTGTTTCATGTCAAATGGTAGACCTTGTATGAAAGGAAAACAATATGTATCAAAAAGTGTGTGACTTGAATTTTTTTAACCAATTTGACACATCAGCTTAACATTGAAAGTAATTGGAGAAAGTTTATTTTAAAGTCCCAGCAGCAAAATCAAGTAGAGGCATTGCTCAGTGGCAGAGCACATGCTTTATGCAGCAGAAGGTCCTGAGTTCAGTCCTTCACATCACCAGGTAGGGCTGGGAAGGACCCATCCTGAAAATGATGGAGAGCTGCTGGCCATTGTGGCAGACAGCACTGAGCTAGATGGTTTATAGACTGTTTCTGTATAAGTCAGTTCTTCTTCATAGTCTGATTCACACATATGGATCCCTTTGCACCTGTGGAAACATTCTTCAAAATCTTCCAGAACTTTAGAGCCATTAGTTCATCCCTTTTCACATGCTCCCCAACCAACGGCTGGTCCTCAGTTCACTCTAGAACTTCACTGAGGTAACACCATGAGGGCGTTCCAGACCATCTTTTTTCAACTTTCCATCATTTGCCGTATATACTCGAGTATAAGCTGACCCGAATATAAGCTGAGGCACTGAATTTTACCACAAAAAAGAGGAAAAACTTATTGACTCACGTATAAGCCGAGGGTGAAAAATGCAGCAGTTACTGGTAAATTTCAAAAATAAAAATAGATACCAATAAAATTGCATTAATTGAGGCATCAGTAGGTTAAATGTTTTTGAAGATACTGTCCTTCTGAGCTGCAAGACACACTTCACTGCCTGTGGAGGGAGGACTTCTACCGAATGCTGTGCTTATTTACTGCTCTACTGCTGTGTAACAAAATGGAGGGAGATGGAGGATGGAGGAGGAAGGTGGGTACATAGAATATGCAGAAGGAGGAGGATGGGAGTGTCCTGGAAGTGGAAATGCAGTGTACTTAACTCAGGTCATCGGACCGCCCACAGAGGCTGCAGATGCCCGTAGATGAGCGGGGGAGTCCGGAGAACACCCGCACTGAAGGGGAGAACATGTAATTTTGACACTGACTCGAATATAAGTTGAGGGGGGTGCTGAAAAACTGGCTTATACTTGAGTATATACTGGAGAACAGTTCATTTCTTCCTCTTCTTCCTCTTCTTCATTTTTTCATTGGAAAAACAAACTTCTTAAAACTCTATTGTTATTTTCATCAGGTTCAGGTGCATCACAACACCTGTTTCAGTGGATGGAGGAAAGGTGGATCATTGGTGCCCCGAAGCCCAGTGAAATCTGTACCAAATTAATCTTACAAGCTGTCTGCTCCTTTTCTACTTAAGAAGCATTTTCTTTCCCAGATTTTATTTAATACACTGGGTATGTCCAAGAGAAGGAATATAAAACCCACTGATACGAAGAGTAATATAAATGATTTAAGTCACAGTTACACTGATGCACACTTTTGAACTATGGAAAACAGGGACATACATTTCAAAGTGCCAGACAGAACTACAGTATTGCACCATGTTTCAGCAGAAATAATCCCCTGCCTAAAA